CCGGAAGGGCGCGAGGAAGGGTGGAGGGAGGCAAAAGGCGCAAGGCAGTGGCGGAGGGGGAAGGGGGGACGACTTGGGGACGTGAAGAAGGGATTAGGGGGAAGGGACTTGAGAGGGATGGCGAAAAGGCAAGAGGGAAAGAGAGCGAGGGATGGGGAGGCGCATGGTGAGATGGAAGTGGCAAGTTAGGGGAGGAAGAGGCGAAGGGGGGAGGGGGTGCAAGACAAGGGAGGTAGAGGCGGAGGGAGGAGGGCAGAGTGGCTATGTGGCAGATCATAAGCGAGCGATGGGGAAAACAGATGATCAACCGGCAGGACGTTGTGAGGGAGAGGGGCATTGGGGGGAGGGAAAGGGTATGAGAGTGAGAAGGCATAAGTGCGGAGGGGAAGGGCGTGAGAGTGAGACTGCTCAAGCAAGTGCGGAGAGGAGAACATTCTTTCCCTTTCGCACTCCCCTCCTGTCACACTTTCCCTTTCCCTCGCCCTGTGCTAGCCCCTTCTAGCATGCCCCAAAAGGTCCCCTCCCCTCCCCTCTCACCTCATCGTCCCCCTACCTCCCTCTCCCCCCCATCTCGTCCGCAGCTTCTGCTAAACCCCACTCGTCCATGCCACAACAAATCACACAATGTCCGTTCAAATCCCCCCCCTTCCCCCCCCCCCCCTTCTCCCCTTGCCCCAATCATCTCGTCCGCAACTTCTGCTGCAGCCCACTCGCCCATGCCACAGCGTTTTCCCTCCCCTTCCTCTCCAGCAAGTCTCACAGCGTTTTCCTCCCTTCCTCTCAGCAAGTCTCACAGCGTTCCTTTCCTCTCAGCAAGTCTCACAGGTTCCTCCTCTCCAGCAAGTCTCACAGCGTTTTCCTCCCTTCCTCTCAGCAAGTCTCAGCGCACCACATCTGTCCACCCACGCTCCCTTCCCCTCCCCCCCTCCCCAACACACCTTGTCCGCCGCAGCACCTGCTGCACTCCACTCGCCCTGCGCTCCCCTGTAACACTTTCCTTTCCCTCGCCCCGTGGCAGCCCCTTCTAGCATCTGCTGCAGCACCTGCTGCACTCCACTCGCCCACGCCACTATGTATCCCGCTTCCACTCTGCACTTCAAAGCAGGCCGTGTCGTCTGACATTGTAACGAGATGACTTGTGAGTCGGCTCAAACGATTACCCCCGTTACAGTGTCGCCCTCACAACGTACCTCCCTTCCTCTCAGCACTTCCTTCCCACCGGCACCAACATTCATCCCTCCCACATTCTCTTCCCCTCCCCACCTCCCTCTCCCATCACCTCGCCCAAAGCATCTGGTACACTCCACTCGTCCACCCCCCTCCCCCCCAGTTCCCCGCCCCCTTCCCCTTCTCCCACCCCCTCCCGCACACACACACCCCGCCTGCACCATCTGCTGCACCCCTCTCGGCCCGTACCACCAGCTGATTCCGCTCCCCCAATGCCCCCATTTCGCCCCCCCTTCGTCTGCAGCATCTGCTGCTCTCCACTCGTTCATCCCCCCTGCAAATATCGACACATTCCCCTTGCCCCATGCTTGCTCCTTCTTTCATGCCTCAAAGGTTCCCTCCCTCCCTCCCCTCCCCCGACACATACCTCGTCTGCAGCATCTGCCGCACTCCACTCGTCGTTGCCACAAGCTGCTTCGCCTTCCCCATCCCCCCCATTCACCCCACACTCCCTTCCCTTCCCCACCCCCCACCTCGCCTCGCCCAAGAATCTTCCCCCACTCCACTTGCCCGCCTCCCCCTACAGTTAGGACACGGGGGATCCGGGCGGGGGTAGCTGGGGATGGCATGCTGGGGGGGGGAGGGGAGGGGGAAAGGGGAAAGGGGGGAGGGGGGCAGGGGGGGATAGAAAATGTGAAACCATGCAAGCTAGAATTTGGCACATTTCGACACGCCCTGCAGTCAGGGCAGGGGGGATCCAGACAGGGGTAGCTGGGGATGGTGCGCTGTGGGAGGGGGAGGGAAGGAGGGGAGAATGGCGAGGGAACGCGAGGGGGAAGGGGAGGAAACGCAAGGGACTGGGACAGGGGGAAGAAGAACGAGAGACGAAGAGGGAGAAGAATACGGGGGTTGGAAAGGGAGCAGGAGAAAGGGGGTGGGAAACGGAGAAGGAGAAAGGGGGTTGGAAAGGGAGAAGACGAAAGGGAGTCCGCTGCCCCACTCCCAATGCTCTCCCAATGCAGCTGCCTGCACTCTACCCACCAATCGTTACACAACCCGAAACGGTAACCATCTCTTCAAACAGCGGTGTAGGGTGCACCTACTCCGGCCGGCACAGCATCTACTCGCTCCGCGCCAACCGCTTCTAGCTTAGAGCCCGCTCCTAGCTTACCCCCCACCATCTGCTCCCCCCAGCATCTGCTCCGCACCAACCGCTTCTAGCTTAGAGCCCGCTGCCCCACTCCCTGCTCTCCCAATGCTTTTTAAACCCTCCCCTCTCTCATGCCCACCCCATTCCCGTCACACCCAGTAACCCCCCCCAGCATCTGCTTGGCGCCAACCGCTTCTATCTTACCGGAGTGACGCCAATGAGCCAGCTTCCCTCCTCCCACCTTCCCTCAATCGTAGGCTCTCCCCCTCACTCCCTACTGGGTGTGTTGCTGCTTCAGAATCTGCTGCCCCACTCCCCTCCTGCTCCCCCTCTGCCTCCTTCTCCCCCTTCCCTTTGCCCATCACCCCATCTCTCCTGCTCTTCCTTCCCTTCCCCCCTCACTCCGTACGGGGTGTCACGGCTTAGGAATCTGCTGCCCCATTCCCCTCCTGCTCCCCCTCTGCCTCCTCCCCCTTCCCTTTGCCCATCACCCCATCTCTCCTGCTTTTCCTTCCCCTCCCCCTCCCCCTCACCCGCCCTCTCGTCTGCAGCATCCGCTGCTCTTCACTCTCCCGCGCCCCCTGCAGTCAAGGGAGGGGGGACAGGGCGGGAGGAGCTGGGGACGGGAAGGGAGAGGGGGGAGGGAGAGAGGAAAGAGAGGAAGGACCGAGCTTGCTGCTATCGACCCGGTTTCTCCGGGGAGAGTGGAGGAGGGGAGACACGCGAGGAAGGTGGGAGGGACTTGAAGGGGGGGGGGGGGAGAGGTGCGGGAAGGGACGGTTGGGGGGAAGGAGGAAGGAAGGGGAAGGGGAGGGGGGATGGGAAATTGCACTTTGAAGGAGAATCAGGAGCAGGAGATGGAAGAAAGTGGCTGCGATGGGCTGAAAAGGGGGCTGAAAGGGAGTCACTCAAAATACACCTGAGTCCACTCAAATACACCTGAGTCCACTCAAAATACACCTGAGTCCACTCACCAATACACCTGAGTCCACTCAAAATACACCTGAGTCCACTCACCAATACACCTGAGTCCACTCAAAATACACCTGAGTCCACTCAAAATACACCTGAGTCCACTCAAAATACACCTGACTCCACTCAGAATACACCTAAGTCCACTCAAAATACACCTGAGTCCACTCACCAATACACCTGAGTCCACTCAAAATACACCTGCTGCCCGGCCCCCCACTCCCAACCCTCTTTCAACCCTCCTCTGTCTCACAACCCCCATTCCCATCACACCAAGTACTCCCCCCCCTCCCCCCCACCCCCCCAGCCTACTCTCGCCTCCCTCTCGCGTGCTCATCCCGGCTGGAATGAAATGCGGCAGATGCGGGGATGGAAGCGAGGCTGCCGGGAGAGAGGACGAGCTTTTTGAGCCTAGGGAATGACGACAGGTAGCCAGGAACTTCGCGGTGGTTGATGCGACGACATTCGCGAATGTGGATGTGGTCCTGTACGCGACAAGCTATGCGATGTAAAAACGGAGGAAAGAGATCAGTGGCGATTCTCTACTCTGCGTACGACGGATCTCTCATACTTCCACGGAAACCTTTAGCTCGGCTGACGCAGCAAGACCAGCCATATCTAGTTTAGAACTACTAGCAGAAGGGTTGTGAGGAACAAGTGTCTTCAGCAGAAACGATATTTGCGAGATCAGCAGTCAACCGTTGCGAAAGAAAATGACGACTCATGGGGCGATCGTGGAAATCCGCTTTCGCAGTGCTCGATCATACCCCGGTGTTACCTCAGTGTCGCGTTTGTTTGCGGAGACGTGCTCTCGAACGTCATTGTGATTCGCCCAATCGCCTAGTAACCCGCTGATGCCAAAGTTCCGCGCGGGGTGGGGGAACACACACGAATAGAGGCAGTAGCGCGCGACAGTGTGCGAACACAATTGAGATTCCCAGGTGCCCAGCTCGGAGCGGGTAACAAACACCACTGCGGTTCCTGGCGAACCATGCAATTCGCTGCGCACTGATTCCTTTCGTCAGTCACGCTGCTAGTACGAAACCATGTAAGTTACCCAGTCGACGTTGCGAGCAGAGTTGTTGAGCCTATCCCAGACAGAGCTGGCGCATGCGAAAGATGGATTTGGTAGTGAGTTTTAAATGTTACACTAACGGTTCACCTCACACCATGAAATTCCGACTCTCCTGACGAGTCTCATGCTACGCCAGCCAAGCATAGATTTTCCCTCCAAAATTATTCCGGAGGAATGGTCGTGCATTTGTCCGTCAACCAGGCTACAGACGAGGAAGAAACTGCGATGTCCCTAAGAGTCCCAATAATTGCTGAGCCCATCGTAATGGCAAGACGTAAAATCTTCACCCGGTCACACGACCTGACGGAATGACATCTTTCCCCCAGCAATCGTTGTCATTGCGCCTCGCCTGCCAGGACTTGACCTGGGGATGTCTCCAATTTTAACGGAAGGTCACTCCTCCGTCAGTCACGCCGTCAGTTCTGGGGCAATAATTGTCGACGCTTCACATCTCGACGTCGCAAGGCAAAACGAAGCACAATGCGACCTTCCTGGGCGCAACCGAGATTACCTAAGCGCTTCCAACACAACAAAGTCCCAATGGCGACTCGGTTTTGCCTCTCAGGCTCCAGGTTCACACGACGACGTGCACTATAAAATCGCCAGCTAATTCGAACCAATCATCGCCATTTTATCCACAGCTCTTCTAGTATTGCTTGATTTCCCGGCCCGCTTACTCCATTCCAAAGGACTCAATTTCCGCGATTTTAGTTTTTCAAAGCTCCCCCCTGCCGAACCATTCCCTGCGATTTCCGCCTCTCTTACTCAATACCGCGCGATGGCTCATGTTTCCAAGATCAGCGGAGGGTTGTGCCTCGCATTCTTCCTCCTAGCCCTCGCCCTCACTCCCGCCAGCGCCGTATTCACCAGCTTCAGCGTGGGACTCAACGACGGAGGCGGCGCGTGCAACTACAAGGGCGATTTCCGCGACAGCCCCTTTTTCAACGGCGGTCTCACCGCGTACATTCCTCAGAGCCAATACAACGGCGGCAAGGGCTGCGGCACGTGCTACGAGGTTTCCTGCAAGAACCACAAGAGCTGCAGGGGCGGCAGCGTGACGGTGCGCGCCGTCGGGAAGCAAGGCAACGGCGATTTCCTCCTCTCCTCGACCGCGTGGGACAAAATCGTCCGCGACCGGGCCGCGGGCCGCGTAGAGATTAAGTACCGCGGCGTGGAGTGCCCTAGCAACGGCACCTTCGCGGTACGGGTGATGCCGGGGAGCAACCCTTACTGGTTCGCGATTCAGATTCTGGGCGTGGTGGACGCGGTGGAGAAGGTGGAGATCTCCAAGGACGCCAGCAGCTGGACGAGCCTGCGCGCCATGGGAGAGAGCGCCACGTGGGTGCTGGGGTCCGGCGCTGAGAAGATCGTGGGTGTGGGGAGGACGGTGAGCGTGCGCGTCACAGAGGTGGCCCAGGCCGGGCAGCAGCTGGTGCTGCAACTTGTGAATGTGATCCCGGCCAAGTGGAGCGCCGGGACGACCTACGAGTACACCGTTGTCATCTAGTAACGATATGGCTTATAACAGGGAAGTTTGGGAAGTTGAGCGCGCGGCAGTGGGGAGCGGAGCAGGTGGGAAGACCTGCGAGAGTACCCGCAACTTCACGCTACACACAGGCGTTGAGTGGAGTCGTTTGGGGCATAAGTGCATAGTCTAGCAAGGCAGAATAAAAGCCGGAGGGCCAACCTTTGAGATGGAGTTAGTGGCCAACCAACTGGTAGAGGCATTGAACTTGCACTGAATAAATGCATGCCTTGCTTATGCTGAGTCTATGCCCTTTGTGTGCAATTTCTACTTTTGACAGTGAAATTTCTTATTTCCAACAAAACTTCGGAATCAGAGGCAGCACAGCAGCACTCCACACCTTGTTATGCTTTAGTCGCTCGGTTGCACCAAGGGTCAGAGAACTTTCTGCCGATGTCATCTAAAGAAATTTGGGTCTAGGAATGGCAACTTTCAGGTGTTTTTGTGCCATTAACGGGCAAAGCACGACCGTGAACAGGCTGACTGTATACGGTGGTCTTGTTAGGACTTTAGGTATAAAAAACAGCCGGGTTGTGTACATCCCTGTACGGCCATAGTCTGGCTGTGAACAATGGTATTGGTAGTCTGTTTAGGGTGCTAGATGTCAAACATATCCTTGTATGTTGTTATAGACTACACAGGGTTGTGCCTTAGAGAGTGCAACCCACTAGGTTATATTCCCATGCCATGGTTCTATTTTATTCGCTAACTTTGATATTGTATCATGAGTATGTTAGGTCCCCCCTGCCCACCAGCGCTTCCGCCATAGGTCCTAGCCACCCCATCGCCCTCCCGCCCGTGCTGGCCCGTCCCCTAGTGGCCCCCGTCACCTAGCGCCTTGCCGGCCCCGTCGCCTAGCCGGCCCCGTCGCCTAGCCGGTCCCGTCGCCTAGCCGGCCCCATCGCCTCGTCGGCCCCGTTGCCCAGCCGGCCCTGTCGCCTAGCTGGTCCCGTCTCCTAGCCGGCCCCGTTGCCCAGCCGGCCCCGTCGCCTAGCTGCCCCCCCCCTTCCCCCCCCCCACCCCCCCCCTCGCTTAGCCGGTCCCGTCACTCAGCCGGTCCCATAGCCTAGCCGGCCCCGTCGCCTAGCCGGCCCCGTCACCTAGCCGCCTAGCCGGCCCCGTCGCCTCGCCGCCCGCGGCCCCGTCTCCTAGCCGCCACGCAACTCCGTCTCCTAGCTGCCCGGCGGCACCGTCGCCTGACCGCCCTGCGGCTTGCTCGCCTGCCCGCCACGCGGCTCCTGTTGACCATCCGCCCTACAGCCTCGCCGCCCAGCCTCCTCACGGCCCCGTCCCTCAGCTGCCCCTGCGGCTCCCACCTCGCTTCATCGGCCCTTTCCACCGCACTACACGGCACTCCACCGCCCTGCACCGCACAGCACTGCACTCTACCGTACTGCACCTCACTCTACTGTAGTCTACTGCACTGCACCGCACTACACTGCACACCACTGCTTCCCGCCACACTTTGTAGCTCAGTACAGCCCACTACCGCCTTTCAGCTGCTGCAGCGACAATGATAGCGAACTCGGTGCTTCGCTTTGACGCGGAGGGTCAGCCAGTTGAGTTCGACACGTGGCTTGTCGTCCTCTGCCGTCACCTCACTGGTCAGCGGCGGGACGGCCACTCCCTGGCCGTCCACATTGATGGTATGCTCCCATGCCCTGACCCCCCTGCTGCTCTACCCGCTGCCCGCTCGTCTGCTGACCGTGAGTCCGCCGCCGCTGCTGTCCTTGCCCGTGCTGTCGGGTTGGCGCGTGACGCTGTCGCACAGCTCGTGATTAGTCATGCCCTCCCCCTGTCTGAGCGCCCCCGCTTTAGGTCAGTCAGGACTGCGCAGGAGTTCCTAGAGGCTGTTGTCGCGCACTATTCCACCCCGCCCTCTGCCTCCGTCGGCCGCCTGATCCTACCCATGCTCTTTCCTGATCTCGCGTCTTTCTCCACTGTCGCTGACCTGGCCGCCCACTTGCGCACGCTAGACGCGACCTAGCGCGCTGCCTGCACTGAGGCCCCCCTTTGTGTGTTTCAGCTCCCCATCTGCTCTACCCTCTACCTGCTTGCCACCCGCCTCCCTGACCGCCTTGCTACCGCCCGCGATCACTCTCTTAGTCTCCACCTTGCTGACCTCACCCTCACTGACTTTGTCGACACCGTGTCTGCCATAGAGACTCGTCAGCGCTCTATCGCCCAGCTTAGTGGTACTGTGCCGATCACTATCTTTCAGGGTTGTGCCCCCGCTCAGTGCACTTACTCTGACGAATCTGCTGCTGTCGTTGAGACAGCCCCTGCTTTCGGAGACGGTCGCCGCGGCTGCCGCAGCGTAGTTTCGTCCAACTAAGGGTCGCCGCTCCAAGGCTGGGCACGGCGGAGGTAGCGGAGGAGGGGGTGGAGGTGGTGGTGGAGGTGGTTCGCCCACTAGTAGTACTGACGAGGGGGCTGGGACTGGTGCCGCGGAGTAGCAGCCCCAGTAGCAGCAACAGCAGGCACCGCAGCTGGACCAGCAGCAGCAGCTGCGGGTCGGTTGTCTCTCGCCCGAGTGGCCTGGCGCGGGTGGTGGAGGTGGTCGCAGTGGTCGTGCGTGCAGCGTGACGTCGGGTGGTGGTCCAAGTGACAGGCGCAACCAGTACCAGCTCAAGACCGGTCCTCGCTGCGGCCTCGTGTGTAGTAAGATCGGCAATACCCCCACTCGTTGTTTCAGTCGCCTAGAGGACCTGTTTCATCTCCGCTTCGGCCCAGCGCTAGACCTCCCTGACTGGCACAGTCTGCTCCACTGTGGTGTTGGGATCTTTGATATGGACATGGACGAGATTAGCTCTGCTTTGTATGTGCTGTATGTCAATGACTCTAGTGTGACTGGTTCCTATTACCCCTTGCCTAGTGTAGGTGTGCCTAGTTCAGGCTCCCCTGCTGCGTCAGGCGTAGGATCCCCTGCTTTGTTTAGCCTTGGCTCCACCCTCGCTCCTCCGACCCCTGCCACTACTGCCGCGCACTCCTTCACCCTGGACTTTGGCGCTTCCCGATGTTTCTTTCGGGACTCCACTACGCTTACGCCGCTTGCCGCTCCCGCCGCAGTTGCCCTTGCAGACCCTTCCTCAAGTTTTGTAGTCGCCGGTAGCTCCACCACCCTTCCCTTTCCGGCGGTCCCTTCAAGCTCCCTTACAGACCTGCACATCCCCTCGTTCCTATCTTTACGAAGGTGTTGCGCCTAAAGATCATCAGCGGCACTGTGTACAGCTAGGTCTCGTTCCTGTAGCCTCTCATTTGCTAGGACCTTGATTGTGTACAAACCTTTATATATATTACCCTGATTGGCCTTGTGGCCTCTTCCCAGTGGCTGGACTTGTAGTGCCGCCCTGGTCTAGCTCTTGCTTTGTTTGTACTCGTTTGACTGGTCTTTAGACCCTTGCCTCAGAGGCTGGACTAGTAGTGCCACCCTGAGCTGCTTGTCTCTCACCAAGCACTGCCCCTATCTAGTCTAGGGGGTGTGTCAAACATATCCTTGTATGTTGTTATAGTCTACACAGGGTTGTGCCTTAGAGAGTACAACCCACTATAATCCCTTGTACTCTCTGCGGTAGAGTGCGGTGCATTGCGGTGCAAGGCGGAGCAGTGCACTGCAGGGCGGTGGAGTGTGGTGCAATGTGGTGGAAAGGGCCGATGAAACGAACTGGGAGCCGTAGGGGCAGGTGAGGGACGGGGCCGTGAGGAGGCTGGGCGGCAAGGCCGCGGGGCGGCTGGTCAACAGGGGCCACGCGGGCAGGCGACCAAGCCGCGGGGCGGTCAAGCGTTGGGGCCGCTGGGCGGCTAGGAGACAGGGTCGCGTGGCGTCTAGGAGACGGGGCCGCGGGCGGCGAGGTGACGGGGTCGGCTAGGCGACGGGGCCGGCTAGGCTACGGGGTCGGCTGAGTGACGGGGCCGGCTAAGCGAGGGGGAGGGGGGGGGCGCTAGGCGACGAGGCCGGCTGGGCGACGGGGCCGGCTAGGCGACGGGACCGACTAGGCGACCGGGCCGGCTGGGCGACGGGGCCAATGAGGCAACGGTGCCGGCTAGGCGACAGGGCCGACGAGGGGACGGGGCCGGCTAGGCGATGGGGTCGGCTAGGCGACGGGGCCAGCTAGGCGACGAAGCTGGCTGGGCAATGGGGCCGACTAGGCGACAGGGCCGGCTGGGCGACGGGGCCGGCTGGGCGACGGGGCCGACTAGGCAACGGGGCCAGCTAGGCTCTAGGTGACGAGGGCCACTAGGGGACGGGCCACCATACGCGGGAGGGCGACGGGGTGGGTAGGACCTGTGGCGGAAGCGCTGGTGGGCGGGGGGGACCTAATCTACTCATGATACCATATCAAAGTTAACGAATGACTAGAACCATGGCATACAAGGGAATATAACCAAGTGGGTTGTACTCTCTAAGGCACAACCCTGTGTAGTCTATAACAACATACAAGGATATGTTTGACACGCTGAGCTTCGCATCGGCTTGGTCATAGAGGTGGCTTGTACCTCCATGATTCATGCTGGTGCACCCGATTTTCTATGGCTGTTCGCCATTCGCTACGCCGCTCACTAGCTTAACCTCTGGCCACGCTCCCACCGGCCGCAAGTTTTGCCGACTCTTCTTTGGGTCGGGTTTCCTGGTGACTCGTCCGCGTTCCACGTCTGGGGCTGTCTTGCTCACGTTTGTGCCTCTGGCACGGACAAGCTCACTGTCTGCACTGTCCCCTGTGTCTTCCACGGTTTTCCTCTTGCCTCGTCTGACCGGCACTTTTACCACCCGCCGTTTCACCGCTTCTTTCACTCCCGTGACGCCAGTGTTGACGAGTTTGTTTCCTTTTACCACCGCTTTCCCCACGAAGGTTTCCCGAATTCCTCCCCCCCTGTTTCTGGTTCCTTCTCCCTCGGTTGCCCTGCGGTACACTTCTTGCCGCTTGTTTCTCCCCCAGTGTCTCCTCCGCTGTCGCATTCGCCGCCGCAACCGACGCCGCCGTCATAGTAGCAGTAGCCGTTCGTGGCCTCTGGGGTTGCTGGCAAGGATTCTCCCTCCGGGGGTGCTGGGGTGGAGTGTTCCAGAGGTAGCCGCGGTGCAGCTGACGGTCCAGGTGTTGGTGTCGAGCAGCAGCAGCAGCAGTCGCCACCGGTGTCCACCCTTCGCCTGCTCTGCCTTCGCTCCCCTGACTGCTTGCCTATGCCTCCCTCGCCGTCTCCTCCCCTTCCTGTCCAGAGTCCTGTGTTTCCTCCGCCGGACTCGTCCCCGGCTCGTATCCCACCTCGTTCCCCTCCTGTCAC